GAAAACAGTACTAGTTGTATAACATTTTCTGCTCCGCTTAGATAGTTACAGCGCTTCTTTTGTGGTCCTTTCTAGCGGTTGCTGCCGGTGGAAGGCATGGGTTGGGGCTTTCTAAAGCAGCATTGGACTGTGATGGTAATGGGCGCGGGGTCCTACTCGGAAGCTCACATTACCTTGATAAATACGTTTAGATTTTGATGAATGTTCATCATTATTGCAGACTGTGACGCAGAGTGTGCCAAATCGTACTCTGAGCAATGGTGGTCCGTTAGGATGGCATCAGAATGGCTCAAATTCACCAACTCTGTCTTCGCCGAATATGAACAGCCCTGAAGGAACTAACGGAATAAATACTGTCGTGCCGTCACCTGTCAGCGTTGTCGGAAATCCTTTTCTGGCTAAAACTGAGAGTGAGCGACTGATTGCTGTTAGTATGACTTCCTATGAGTTGGGATTAATATAACAGTTAGAAAAATGTGACTTATGAAATTAAATTTGTTGTTAAAATGAACCATTAGGTAACTTCTTTCGGCTCCGTTCGAGTATTTTATCTAAAACTGGAAGATATAGTGAACTCCTCTTGCATCATATCACTGGGATCGACTAGTTTTTTTTTCTTTTTGTTGCTAAACCGACTCAATTTATTAAAAAGTTTATTTCTTGGTGCAACTTTTTTCCCGATTTTGAATTATTTTTATGTTTACAGTAGCTCTCCCTAAAATTAATTTTTTTGAAAAACTGTTACAGCGTTGTCGCCTTCTAGCGGATATGTCGACGAGAATTTGGAAGCAGATTTAGAAGCGGAGCAGAATCAGAGTGCTGACTGCGTTGGAGAACTCTTGCCGGCCTATGCATCCTCCCCGATCATTACTCGCCCTAACAATTGTAATATTTGTTGGTTCATTTTTTGTTCTTTTTGTAATTTATTTTGCATTTCCTACGTCTGTACTTAATTTCGTAATTGTTATCTAAGTAGACGATGATTGCAGTGAACATGATCGCGGTTGAGTACATCGAACCGCCTTTCTGGTGCTCCGTTTCATATTATGAGTTATCACAGCGAGTCGGTGAAACTTTCCATGCATCGCAACCCTCCTTAATTGTTGATGGATACACCGCACCATCGGACGCAGAGCGCTTTTGCCTGGGACAACTGTCTAATGTTAATCGCTTATCGGATGTTGTGGAAGCTAGAAGACATATTGGTAATGCTAATCTGGATTTTTTTTTTTTGATAATGTTTGGAATTTTCGCACCATTTTTTGCCATTTGTAGTTACACCTAGAAAATTTACTAGGACTCCTTAGAGCACCCATTTCACTCCAATTTAGCTTCATTGATTATCTCTTTTCATTTTTCATATGTTATACACACTGTTGTAAATTCACTTCTCTTTGCAGCAATGTAACTTAGTAAATTAGTGATAGCTGAGCTTAAACATTAAAGTACTTTTAGACCAAATTGTTTCAGGTCGCGGCGCTCGTTTTTATTACATCGGCGGCGAAGTCTTTTGTGAATGTCTCAGTGATTCGTCAATATTTGTACAAAGCCCGAACTGCAATCAGCGACACGGTTGGCATCCTGCTACAGTCTGTAAGATCCCACCAAGTAAGTTACACTTTACCTGGCGACGTCATTTTCTGGCTCTCGCCACTGTCAAGTTTTGTCTTCAACTCAGAAAACAAAAGCTCTTCTGCTTCTAGCAAGAAAACCAGGCTTTTTTCGAATAGCTTACTGCACATGCTGCCTGTAGTGCACCGTGAAATACTCTAGCACTCCTCTTTGCCACTCAGAATGTAGACCTTGAGCAGTTTAGCATCGTACATTATTATAACTAAAAACTTTCCGATTTGAGACCGCTGCTATTATCAGGAGCAGGAATGCGGCCTATACTCTTTGGCGGCTAGATGTCTTATAATTTTGGGAAAAAACAAGCAGTTAATCCGAGGTGTACTTTGATTACTCTGCTCAGCTGTTGTTCCATTATCGCAGACACTCCATTTTGTGTTTTATGCTTCTCTTATTCGCATAATTCAGCATAGGCATTTCAGCTCATCTTTGTACAGCATTTTCGAACTTCCCTGCGTTTTTTTTTTTCTTTTTTTTTAACATTGCATGAGTATCATTCATTCATCTGCTTAGTCTAGCTGTAATCCCTTTTTCCTGTTACATGACCAACCCTGTTTTTCTTCCTGACGTAAACTGTCCTAATGATACCGCTTAGGTCAATACGCGCTTTTTTTCTTTAAATTTGAAACCTAGTTTTTGCCACACTGTTCACAAGTTCTTTAACAGATTCTAAAGCACTTATGAATTTTCCACAGTGGGCACAAATATGAAAATGAGCGTTTTGAACCCCTCTACATCAATAAGAAATCCCTCTTTTTTGTTAGATTTCTATAAAATGTTTTCAAAGCTTTTGAGAAACAAAGTTTCTTTTGCTTCAGGCGTATGCTGACTCTTATTTTTATGACCCTTTTCAAAAAGGCAATTTCTCTGCGCGACTTAATGAGAGGGCCTTTGATGTAAGGTTTTTGCAAGTTTCTTGTAGCCCTGAAGTTTCCGTGATATTCATTGTACGTTCTACGTTTTCTACCTCGCTCTAACCATAGCTTGTACGGAAGGACAAAAAGTAAATTGTGGGCCGTACATCGCGTTAACTGGTCGAAAATTCTTACAAATTATAAAAATTTTTATAAATTTCTTCTCTACGACTTGATTTGTTTTTCTGCTATATTTTCTGTCTATAAGTGCAGCTGATATGTTTTCCAGCTGAAGTCCTTTTTAAACTCTTCTGCTGCTTTCTGAAGCGCCTCTTCCCGGAATTTTCTATTTTGATTCTTCTGTTTTATTTTTTTCTAAGCTCTTTCATTCCAATAGCTTAAGGAAAGAAATCTATTTGCTTAAATATATTTATATTTTTTCCAGAAGTACGAGGGTTGCTAAGAGCTTCACCACTCAATATACACCTACGACTGTGGGTGGGTATCGATGGGTAAACTTGTCTCCACCAGGAATCGCTGGAGCATCACGCGACGCGGTTAGCATGCGTAAAACATTGCAAAGCATCGCGTACATAGTAATATGATTTTACCGGACACGGGACATAGGCAAAAGAATATTCAGAGATTCGATTTAGTCGTCAGCAGGAAATTGTTTGTTTACAGATTGCAATTTGAAGATCTTTAACAATGCGGAATTTGCTGCTTTGTTGGCTGCATCAGTGCCTCAGGGGTTTGAAGCAGTTTATGCTCTTACACGGATGTGTACAATTCGCGTTTCATTTGTGAAAGGTTGGGGTGCGGAATATCGGCGACAAACGATTACTGCCACGCCGTGCTGGATTGAAGCTTATCTTAATGGTCCGCTGCAGTGGCTTGACAGCGTTCTGAAACAGATGGGTAGTCCACCGAATCGATGTACAAGTTTTACTTGAGTGTTTTGCATCATTTGTGGATTTGCACATGGCCAGCAACATATTTCTTTGCATTTGGCTAAATCATTTTTTTTTACGATGCGTTTCTGCATATATGCAAGTTGCAAAAACGCATATTGGCAAGAGGCTCATTGCAAAAACGCATATTGACAAGAGGCTGTCTGTGTATGTGTGTGTGTCTGTGTGTTTGCACTTTTTGTTACCTACTTTCAACTCGAGAACCACAAAAACTTGAAGGCTGAAACTTTGGGAGTGTGTGTCCACACCATGCGTGACCCTCCCGTTTTAGTATCATCATCCGCCTACGCCTGGATGGCACGTACGGATGTCTTTAAAAAAATACGCAAGTTTTTTTGGCGGGAAAATTACTGACTCGAGAGCCAGGAAAGCTAGAAAGCTATTTTAGGGGGATTTCCTCTGCCCAGTACAACTTAAATATTCCTAATTCAGCCTTCATTTATGCGTGGTTCTCACGTATAAGCGCTTAAATGTTTTGGCGGGAAAATTGCTCACTGAACAACAAGGTTACTTTCAAAGAATGACCGAAAATGGGAACTGTTCGTTTACTTCATGCAAAATTTGTGGTGATTTACGCTAGTGAGAGCAAAAGGTAGGTGTAAAGCAACAACCATTCATGCAGTTAATGACCAGATATTTCAACTCTGGTGCAAAAACAAGTGATGCACCGGCAAGCCTGATGCGTTTCAACCTGTTTTTTTTTTTTTGGAGCAGCTTGCATCCTTGTCTCTGCAGCTATTCTGAGACGTTATGGTTTCGTCCTGACAGTGTCCTGATTGCATATGTGAAGTTTCAGTTAGTAATAAGAAAATCTGCATCTTCATAGTTCTATAATGTAATCTGTTTGCAGTTAGTTTTCATACATCTATGATAATTGACCAGGTATGAAAGGTAATATCATAGGCAGTGAGTCCTTTTTTAGGTACCGAGGAGGCTTGAGGTTGTCATAGTTTCTTGAGAGCATGTTAACAGCTCTTTATCGTCTAGTGGAATTCTAATAAAAGTTTAAAAGCATGACCTTTAAACATATCCTTATACCGGAAATTTAGTATTTTCGAAAAATCGGATGTTATGGCTATGATTACTAACAAAATATGTACTATCATTCACTTCTGCGCCTCACTGTCGCTGAAAGCTTGACAATAACAATTGATTAGGCGCTGTAAATGATCTTGGTGAAAACTTTTTATTTTTTATCGGCAAGAACATCTTATTAATTTTTCCCATTCATTTTGACGATGGAAGATTTAGAATGTATCATTTTCTATTAGAAATCTTACGAGATTTTCTGGTTCTGATGTTTATATTGCTTTGTAATATCTATAACCATTACTGTTATTAGTGTTCCAGTGTGAATGAAATTTACATTGGTTACGATATTGTTGTTTTTGTTATGTTGTA